TTGAAAACTGAATATTCTAAGTATTATAAGATGTTAACTCTAGAAATCTGATTCTTCTACTCCTCAGATATTACTGATGTTTTGCTTGTTAAACACCTATCTGTGACTTTTCCAAACTTTGGTTGTTTTTTGTTGTTTTTTTTGCAAAGTGTATATTTCTTGAGGTCACTGAAATATCTGTTTCATTATCTCTATCTACATTCAGCCTGAGATCTGACAAAGATTTCCATAAATGTCTGGCTCCAAATAGGGTAATGAGAGTAGTGAAGGGTTCTGCTTCATCAGTTTTTTAAATTTATTGGGGTGACATTGGTTAATAAAATTATATAGGTTTCATGAAGTAAAATTCTATAAAATACATCATCTGTATATTATATTGTATGTTCACCACCTACACCAAGTTTCCTAACATCTCCATTTATATTCCTCCTTTACCCTTTTCTACCTCCCCCACTTTCCCTTTCATTTTGGAAATCACCATACTGTTTTCTGTGCCTATTGCTTAATCCCTTTACCTTTTATACCCAGCCCAGCCCCTTTCCTCTGACAGCTATCAGTCTGTTCTCTGTCTCTGAGTCTCGTTTGTTCATTAGACTCCACATATAAATGAAATCATAATAGTATTGTCTTTCTCTGACTGGCCTTACTTCATTTAGCACAATGGTCTCATGGTCCATCCATGCTTTTGTAAAGAGTAAGATTTCCTTATTTTAAGCCGATTAAAGTTTTAGGCGTCCAGCATATTTGAATGACAAAATCATCACATAATTTGCCTTGCCACCAGACAGCCACTTCCAGAACACAGACCATTGAGAAATGGAAGTGGTAGCTACTGGTTGTTTTTTTCACTTAGGTAAGATCAGCCACCTCCTCTTTATTAAGTGCTCCACTGCTTGTCAACAGAGTCCAAGCACTCTTTCTTGCTCAAATATTGATTCAATGGAAGCTAGTCTGCCATTTCCCCACTAGTCAACATTTAGTCTATTCATGCAAATACAGTCATGCACCACTTAACAAGGATAAAAAAGAAAAAAAGAACCAGTCAAAAATGAAGAATACATTACATGGAATTTCATTGTAGTTTTGATTTGCATTTCACTAATGACCAGAGAAATTGAGGATCTGTTCTTGTGCTTATTGGCCATTCACATGTTCTCTTTGGAGAAATGTCTATTCAAGTCCTTTGTCCATCTTTGAATTGGCTAGCTATAATCTTGAGTGTAGTTTAACATGATTCTCTGTCCCCTATATTTCCTGCAAATTGGTAGCTAGATCTAGAGGCTTCAATAGAATAGGATTTGATTTTGGAGCAGTGGAGAGAGAGAACATATGCATATAAACTATTTGTTAATCTCTTATGCTAGCTGCTATATGCTCAGTGGTGAAGTCTATTCATTAAGGGTTGGAGAGTGGTGCTATTTCCGTGTTAATCTTTTTTGTATTTATTAGCTGAAACACTTCTATAAAGAGAAGCTTGCCTTCATCTTGATTGCCCTGAGGTACAGCTCATTGACAAAGTGCATGATAAATGCTTGGTTCTAGCTTTTATTTACCTGTTTTTGAAAATAATGTATTGATTCTCTGGCAACTTTCAAAAATGACCATTCAGATTTTTTTATTTTTGGTATGCTTATTGTCCTCACTGATGAAGTGTGGCCTCTGAGTTTACTTTATGAGTTCTCTTATTATGACCCTAATAATTTTCATTGGCTTGTTTGCTTCCTAGTGCAACAAGGTATATGAGGCTTTTGTATCTTTTGTGTCAAGACAACTCTCTGGAGTCTCCATGTTACTTTTATGGGGAAATAATACTTTGTATTCACTGGTTTTGCCTAAGGAGTATTTGTGACTAAATATATGTTTTGTCTTTTTTTTTTTTTTAAGACAAAATATATCATGATTTTTTAAAAGATAGTCTTTATTTTATTTTGTTTTTAAATATATTTTTATTGATTTCAGAAAGGAAGGGAGAGGAAGAAATGGAAACATCAATGGTGAGAGCAAATCATTGATGGGCTGTCTCTTACATAGCCCCTACCTGGGGATCAAAAGTGCAACCTGAGCATGTGCTCTGTCCTGGAATCACACTGTAACCTCCTGGTTCATAGAGCAACGGTCAACCACTGATCCACACCAGCTGGACTCCATCCTGATTTTATACTGATGCTTCCACTTTGAATTCGGGTGGCATAGTTTTTACATCTTCACTCTCACATTTGTTTCTCCTTTTTCCCAAGTGAAAATCAAATCTGTGACTCCAATAAAATACTGATTTGATGAATCCAATAGTCACATACAAAGTATCAGAATAACAATATAATTCTGAGAATATTAAGAAAATTCCATACTTTGCCTTTTGGGTTATTCGTAAGGAACATTCATAACAGTTGATTTGTTTTTTAAAAAAATTGATTTTTAAGAGAGGGACAGAGAAAAAAGCATTGATGTGAGAGTGAAACATCAATCCTCTACCTTCTGCATGACCCCCACCGGGATTGAGCTCTCAACCAATTGAGCCAAACTGGCCAGGGCAGAGTTGATTTTTATTTTGGTTCAAAGCCACTTAGGATTTCTCTGTGTTATATTATTAATAAATGCACATTTTGGCTGGTTTGCTTTTAACTTTTTTTTTTTTTTTTTTTAAATCTTTATTGCTCAGATTATTACACACTTGTTTCTCCTCTTCCCCCCCACCCCCCACCATAGCTCCCTTCCACCAGGCTCCTGCCACACGCTCTGCCCTTACCTACCCCCCCTCGCCATTGTCCTCATCCATAGGTTATATGATTTTAATCCAGTCTCTTTCTGCACCCCCACACCCCTTTCCCCCTGATAATTATCAATCCATTCCCTTTCTTTGCCCCTGATTCTATTATATTCACCAGCTTATTCTGGTCTTTAGAGGTTTTTTTGTTTTGTTTTTGTTTTTGTTGTTGCCAATGCAAAAACTAAACCACATACATGTTATTTTCAAAACTTCAATGTCAAGAGAAAAATTCTGGCTATTAAGTAATAACAACAATGCCAATGCAAAACAACAAAATGAGAAATCGGAATTATGGACATATTTATATTTTTAGCTACTATAATAAATGAGTCTCTTTTGTTGCTGGTGTAGATTTACTCAGAGTCCTTGGACTTGCTGCACAAGACTTTGCAGAAGACTGGAAGCTAACAGATGCTAGCTTGCGTAGAAACATGATTAAAGAAGTAGCTTCCACTTCAGTCTTTAATTTCTTCAGATGACTCCATGTTGGCACCTCAGTCCCTTGCGTAGCCTTCAGTTTTCTTCTCCCACTTTTCTGTTGTCTGGGCAACTCTCAGTCTTTTTGTGTGAAGGGACACAGGAGCTTCTCTGAGTCCATTGTGATGACGGATATAACACTATGGTACCCGAATTGGCTGCATTGCTCCTTTCATTTTGAACCCAGGGTTCAACCCCACAACACTCTGGGCCTGGCTGCTCCGGACTGCTTTTAACTTTTGTAAATTGATTTTTTTATTTGATTTTAAGTATGTGCATTGTTTAAAAGCAAAATAATTTATATATTTAGACATATACAAGGTATCCCAAAAATATATATGCGCACTTTAAATAATTATAAAGGGAGTATTGCCTGGCCAGTGTTGTTCAATGGTTGAGTGTCTACCTATGAACCAGGAGGTCATGGTTCGATTCTTGCTCAGGACACATGCCTAGGTTATGGTCTTGATCCCCAGTAGGGGGTATGTAGGAGGCAGCCAATTAATGATTGTCGCCATTGATGTTTCTGTCTTTTTACCTCTCTCTTCCTCTCTGAAATCAGTAAAAATACTTATTTTTTAAAAGTCAGTGTTTATGAAAATACATTTCATTTTTTAAAATGTTATTTAATCTAGACGTAGTGTGTGTATAGATTTTGGACACCCTGTATATGTGTATGTAAGTATGTCTTCATATTTCCATCTGACTTAGCTAAAGAATAGCTTATGATACATACTTTTCTTGCCTTGCCTTTTTCCCCTTTCATCTGTACATTCTAGGAATCACTTCATAATAGTATCTATAGAAGTTACTCAGTTCGTTTTATACCTGCATGTTACTCAGCTGTGTGTATGTATCCTGGTGTATTCAGCCATTGATGGAGTGTTGGGTTGGTTTGTGTGTGGTGGGGAGATTCTGTCCTCCATCCCCAACCCTACATTATAAATAGTGTCAGAGAACAGCTATGTGTTTCCTTAAAAAAACCCCACACAAAACTGTTCCGGTCCTGGTTTGGTAGCTTAGTTGTTTAGCATATCATCCTAAAGGTGTGGGTTCTCTCTCTCTCTCTCTCTCTCTCTCTCTCTCTCTCTCTCTCTCTCTCTCTCTCTCTCCTTCCCTCCTTCCCTCCTTCCCTCCCTCCCTCCCCCCCCCTTTCTCGCCCTCTTTCTTTCTCCACCTCTCTCCCTCTCCATTACTTTCTCTCTCTAAAAATCAGGAATTTAAAAAAAAAAAACTAAACTATTTTGGTCAGTGTATATTTGGAAAAGATTTTTAGAAGTGGGATTGGTGTTCATAAGAGTTGTGCTATTTTGCATTTCCATCATTAATGTATTAGATTGTCTGTTTTGGACTTTGCCAACTGCATAAATTTAATTGAACTTTAATTGCATTTCTCTTAGCAAGGTTTAGCATCTTTTATGTTTCAGAGTCATTTGCCTTTTTATTCCCTGTGAACTATTAATTTTTCTAGTTCATTTTTAGATAGGATTGTTGGCTTTTAAATCGATTTTTAGAATTTATTTGGAATATTAACCCCCTTGTCTTTGATAAGTTGCATTTAGTTTCACTGTTTGGACTTCTGTTTATTTGCCATACATAAGTTTCAATTAATTAAATCTATCATTTTCTTTTCATTTACCCTACTGATTCTACAACAGGCAGAAATAATGTCATGTAAAATAAGTTAAAAATTTTAATTAAATACATTTGTAAAAATATATACTTAGTCCTTTGTAATTATGTGTTCCTCTTCTAGGCAAGGATAAAAGCCATCAATACATTTTTTGCTAAGAATGGTTTTCGATTAATGGATTCTAGTATGTATAGTCAGCCCATTCAAACTCAAGCACAGTATGCCTCACCAGTCTTCATGCAGCCTGTATATAGTCCTCACCAACAGTACTCCATCTATAGTATTGTGCCTCAGTCTTGGTCTCCAAATCCTGCACCTTATTTTGAAACACCACTGGTAAGTGAGATCTTTACAGAATAATAAAAATTTTCACTCAAGCTGAAATTTGAGGAAATCAGCTAGAGTGGAAGTTCATTTTTTTGTTTTGTTGTTTACTGCTTTTTAAGTAATGATGAGGATATATAATATCTCATAGCAAATGTATGCATATGACTGTTTCTATAATTTCATTCTTTAAATTTTGCTGAGTTAATTATTAGAGACTGAATAAATCCATTAGCTTAAATTGCGTTTAGTTTTGTAAAATTTACTCAAAAGTGTTTTTTATGAAGTAATGGACCAGTGATTTCTTATTTTATAATGTACTGCAAAAGTGAAAATAAAATATTTACTATTATTTTGAGCTTCTAGAAAAAATTGATGCTAGGTTAAGTCATCAGAAATTTCTTATGACTTTCACATCAGATGCTATCTTTACCATTAACTGTTTCTAAACATTAAAATTTTCTTTTAGGCTCCCTTTCCAAACAGTAGTTTTGTGAATGGCTTTAGTTCACCAGGATCTTATAAAACAACTGCTGCTGCTATGAATATGGGTCGACCATTCCAAAAAAATCGGTAAGATAAAAAATCATTGCTGGAATTTATTGTAAGCTATTCTCAGTAGTTCTTATGAGTTATTGTGTTCATTGCAGTGCTTATTTGTAGATTCAGTGAAAGAAATTTTTTTTTGTTTTGTACAAAATATATGAATGATTTAATCTAGAATTTATAAACACACTTTGACCTCAGAGTAGATAATGGCTATAAAAGGAACTTGGGACTGAGATTGTACGTACTGATTTTTTTTTAATAAAGGGAGCAGAAAATATTTTATGGTAGTAACATAAAAATCTAGGTTTAAATGCCATTTAGTATGTTAAATAGGTAACATTTTGAAGGATGAGCTTTTTTTTTTTTTTGAGGATAGAAATGTTAACTGAATTGATATTGTAATATTGGGAATATGAATTACTTAGGATTTTTAATAATTGGCTTTTGGAAACAATTTTCACTACAGTGTATAACATGACATTTATTGGGCATTTAATGTTAAAGCTCTGTTTTAAGAGCTTTACATGTTTTAATCAGTTAATTTTCACAAACCTTAAAATTGATAGTTACTGTATTTACTTAAAAAATTAGGAAATTAAGACATATAAGGTTCAATATTTTATCTGCAAGCACATAGCTAGTAGTCCCTCCCTGGCAGCCACACCTGGGGCATGCTAGGGCTTGAAGAGCATCTGCAGAGTGAGAAGGATCCCTTGGCCTCAGGGATCCGGCCAAAACTGGCAGTCCAACATGCCCTGAGAGGTCCCGAGTGCGAGAGGGCACTCTGCAAAGTTGCTTTCGCTCAGTAGCTCCTGTGTTGAGCATCTGTCCCCTGGTGGTCAGTGTACGTCATACCTATTGGCCTGTCGATTAGCCTTTTACATATATAGATTTGCTATCCATAAAATATTGGTATGTCTCAAGTATTATTCTTTATATAAGTATTAACTGATAATCTTAATAATTTGGTATATATATATTATGGCTTTTGACAGAGTTTGAGAAAAAAGTGCTCATATAGAGGTTTAGAATTATTTAATAGTTTTACATTTGTTATTTTTTGTTTGCTTTTTTGTGAGCCTCCTAGGTTTTGTGTTTATTTTCATGAAATTATTTCTTTTCAGTAATTTCTCTTGCCAGGTCCTGTTCCCCCACAGTTTATTCTTTTCTGGCAAAGAGATCACATAGGGTATGTTTGTCCAAGATGACATCTAGAAACTGAATTCTTTGTTGTAAGGTTTTCGGAAACATGTTTCACTGGAGAAAGAAGCCTTATGGTATTAAAAAATATCTTGAGTGGGTTCTGGAAGTATACATATGTACTATCCTCTAATGGTCACAATTTGTTTACTCACTTTAGCTGACACAGTTGGTTAAAGCATTGGAAGATCATTCCTTTAAGTATTAGGAAAATTTTACTACATATACACTCTCCCCCTCTCCCCCATTAATATATGTTTATTGATTTCAGAGAGGGAGAGAGAGTTAGAAACATCAGTGATGAGAGAGAATTATCAAACACCTGCCTCCTGCACACCCCCTAATAGGAATGGAGCCCACAATCCAGGCATGTGCCCTTGTCTGGAATCAAACGACAGACCCTTCAGTCCACAGGTCATTGCTCTATCACTGAGCCAAAGAGGCTAGGGCTATATATACACATTCTTAATCTCTATGAAGTTTCAAATGAGATCTCTTATTTTTAGAATGAAAGATTCTTTATGAACAAAATATTATTTGTGCTCTTATAGATGACTTAGTTTGTAATACACTAACAATTTACTGTAAAATTTGAGTATTGCTAGGACATGTGAATAGAAAAGCACAGTGAGAGTGTCCTTTAACTCCTGTCCTCTTGTTCAAATGGGTTATTTCATTGGAGGCGAGGATGTTTAAATCTGAAAAGACCAGTTGTTAGGATACAGTTTTAATTTTATAGATGAAAAAATGAAAGTTGAAGAGGACAAATATCTTGCTAGGATTACATGGCTAGTTATTATCCACACACTTGAGATTTAGAACATTTCCTTTCTCTGTATCTTAGCTGGCAAAGTTTTCTTAAAAATAACAAAGGGGTGCCGAAACTGGTTTGGCTCAATGGATAGAGCGTCGGCCTGTGGACTGAAAGGTCTCGGGTTCGATTCTGGTCAAGGGCATGTACTTGATTGCGAGCACATCCCAAGTAGGGAATGTGCAAGAGGCATGTTTCTAACTCTTTATACCTCTCTCTTCCTCTCTGTAAAATGTCAATAAAATATATATATTTTTTAAAAATACCAAAGGGGTGAATTTATAAGTAGGACAGACATCTTTGTTATGAGATAAACTAAAAGCAATTTAAATTTCTAAAATTTTTATTATTTAATAAATATTCATTGTTCAGTCTATTACAGTTGTTTCTCTTTTTTCCCCCAATAGCTCCCCTCTACCCGGTTCCCATCCTACCTTCTGCCTTTAACCCCGCCCCCTCCCCCAACACTGTCCTCATCCATAGGTGTAAGATTTTTGTCCAGTCTCTTCCTGCACCCGCCACACCCCTTTCCCCTGAGAATTGTCAGTCCACTCCCTTTCTATGCCCCTGATTCTATTATATTCATCTCTTTATTCTGTTCATTAGATTTTTTATTCACTTGATTTTTAGATTCACTTGTTGATAGATATGTATTTGTTGTTCATACCCACCTCTCCAATCTGGGCCTAAACAGGCAGTCAGACATCCCTCTCACAATCAAGGACTACTGGCTCCCAACCACTCACCTGTCTGTTGACCCTAACTGCTTCTGTCTGCCAGCCTGATCACCCCTAAACGCTCCTCTATCAGCCTGATCAACACCTAGCTGCCCTTCCCTGCTGGCCTGTTCACCCCTAACTGTCCTCCCCTACAGGCATGGTTTCCCCCAACAGCCCTCCCCTGTAGGCCATCTTGTGGTGGCCATCTTGTGTGTTGGAGTGGTGGTCAATTTGCATATTACTCTTATTAGATAGGATAGGTTAGGGTTGGCCTTACAACAGCCCAGTGATGATCACTATACCTACTTAGAGAAAATAGGACTAACTTTCAGAAGTCGGGGCATTTAAAAAAATTTTTTTTTTTTTACCTTTCACACTTTATCTTTCTGTCACTATACTCTATCTTTTATTGCTTATTTCTTTTCTTTTTTTGCCCAGACTGAGATTGTGAAGGGTAAGATTATGAGATCTGAGGGCTGGTTAAACCTAACTCGTCCATTAGTTCTATTGAAATGCATTGAGAAAATTTAAGTGAAAGTTGTGAACAGGTAATGTAAATAGCTTAGCTACTTAATGCAGTCAGTTTCAGATATGATGGATAATATGAATATATTGGAAATTTGTGTTAGTTGACATACTATTAATTTAATTGCGATTAAAAATCTATTTTGTGACAGGAAGTATCTGGAAAACTATGACCTATTAAACTCAGCGCAACTCTGTAGCTTGAGTTTTATCTTTAAGTAACCTAATTTTTTATGTTCCTTAAAGAGTAAAGTAGGATAGCTGGAAATGCTGTTGGAATTAATATATGAGGTTTTTGTGTTTTTTAAAAAAATACTTTATTGATTTTTTTACAGAGAGGAAGGAGGAGAGAGTTAGAAATATCGATTAGAGAGAAACATCAATCAGCTGCCTCATGCACACCCCTTACTGGGAATGTGCCCGCAACCAATGTATTGTACATGCCCTTGACCGGAATCGAACCTGGGACTTTTAAGTCCACAGATCGACGCTCTATCTATTGAGCTAAGCTGGTTTCAGCAACTTTTTAAAAATTATATTTATTGGTTTTAGAGAGGAAGGAAGAGGAATAGAGAGAGATAGAAACATCAATGATGAGAGAAAATCACTGATCAGTTGCCTCCTGCACACTCCCCATCCTCCACCCCTCACTCCCATTGGGTACTGAGCCCAAAACCTAGGCATGTGCCCTGGGCCGGAATAGAACCTGGGACCCTTCAGTCCACAGGCCGACACTCTATCCACTGAGCCAAATTGGCGAGGGCTAAACAACTTTTTAATGTAAAAGTTCTTTGCCTTTTAAAAATAATATATCTGGGCCCTAACCGGTTTGGCTCAGTGGATGGAGCATAGGCCTTCGAATTGAATGGTCCCAGGTTTGATTCTTTCTCTTTGATTTTTCTGACCCTCTGTCCCTCTCCCTTCCTCTCTGTGGGAAATCCATGAAATATATTTGAAAAATATATATATATATCTGGGACATAAAAGGGCTTACATTTTTATACAATAATTTTATGTTTAACTTAACGAATGGAAAACAGGAAATAGCAGAAAGGCAGTTTTTAACTTGGTCTGTTAAGAGTTTCTACAATTAAGAATGATTTTCTGTCTTGATTTATTCATATATGTAATCATTATTTCTTATAGCGTGAAACCTCATTTTAGATCATCAAGTGGTTCAGAACACTCAACAGAGGGATCTGTGTCATTGGGGGATGGACCAGTAAACAGATCTGGTTCGAGGAACTTTCCAGCTGAACGGCATAACCCTGCAGTAACAGGGCATCAGGAGCAAAGCTACCTTCCCAAAGAGACTCCAACTTTGCAGATTGAACAGAATGGGGATTATGGTAGGGGCAGGTGAGTGACTATGGTAATAAATATGGGAGGAAAATCCTTTTATCATAATGTGAGTATTTGGAAACCATAATCTGCTGTTAAGTAAATACATTTTTACATAATAGTTTTTCATAAAAATTAAGAAATTTAGAATGTTTAGATAGAATGTAATTAAGTCGGATTTATAAGTTATTCTGAAGTTCACAAAGAATGGTTTAGGAAGATAAAATTCCATCTGCATTATAGTTTTAATTTTCTACAGTTAACAGATAGATTGATTTATTGATTGATTTTAGAGGAATAGAGAGATTTGTTGATCTACTTATAAGCAGCAACCAATGAATATGCCCTCATGGGATTGAACCCCCAACCTTGACATATCAGAGCAATGCTGTAAAACCACCTTAGCTAAGGCCAGAGCTAATTTCTTAACTACTAAACTAAGGTAATAGGGTTCTATATAACTTAACCTACCTGTACAAAACATAGCTGAGCCCTAATCTGCTTCTGGTGTGGAGAGAGTGCTTCTAATAAAAATATGCACAGCTTACTTAGTGGTGGTGGTGGTGGTGGTGGTGATTCGCTCAGGATCCCTTTAGAAGAATACTTATTTATCTTTTAATAATGAAATTTAGATGCATAGATACTTAAAATTGAAATGCACTCATTTTTGATGAAATATATAAATTTGAAGAAACTTATGAGTTCTCTCTCCCACCCCCTTTTTGTTTTGTTAAAAGGAGAACTCTTTTCAGAGGTCGAAGACGACGAGAAGATGACAAATTCCCAGTAAGTATTTTTTTACTTTTAATTACTGCTGTTAATTTTTTTTTCTTTTGTGATTTACTATGGCATTGACTTGTGATCTACCTTGGCTTTAGGTTTCTACTTGATTGATTTTTAAATATATATATTTTTATTTCAGAGAGGAAGAGAGAAGAAAGAGAAAAATACAATGATGAGAGAGAACCATTGATTGGCTGCCTCTTACGTTCCCCACTGGGGTTTGAGCCTGTGACCTGGGCATGCACCCTTACCGGAATCAAACCTGGGACCCTTCAGTTCACAGGCTGATGGTCTATCCATTGAGCCAAATTGGTTAGGGCTACTTGATTGATTATATATGCAGTGAATGTAAATAGAGCCTGTGCTTGACCCAGAAATATACTCCATTATCATGCTCCCTCCACCCTTAAAGTACTCATATAGTTAGGAATTTGACCTGTGCTTCTCACTTTCTTAAAAATTATTTGAGTATCTAATATTTTCACATGGTTTAAAAATTAAAAATATATGGCTAAAACCTGTTTGGCTCAATGGATAGAGCATCGGCCTGCGGACTGAGGGGTCCCAAGTTTGATTCCAGTCAAGGGCATGTACCTTGGTTGCGGGTACATCCCCGGTGGGTGATGTGCAGGAGGCAGCTGATTGTTGTTTCTCTCTGGATATTTCTAACTATCCCTCTCCCTTCCTCTCTGTAAAAAATCAATATAATATATAAAAAAATAAAAATTAAAAATAAAATATTCTATGAAAAGATTAACTCTTTACTAACACATTTAAGCAGTTGGAATCTTTTGGTTGTATATAAGTGCTATAACAAAGACTGCAATGATAACCTCATATAATTATCATTTCCTGTGTATGCAATTTCTGAAGGATAATCTCTAGAAGTCGGATTTCTGGATCACAATTTTAATAAGTTGCTCTAAGTAGTTTTCTGTAGGGGTTGTGGTGACTTTCATCCTGTTTATTCATAGCCTTACAGAGGATAGGATTTTTTTTTTTTTTTTTTTTTTAAAGAATAGTTTAGCCGAAACTGGTTTGGCTCAATGGATAGAGCGTTGGCTTGGGAACTGAAAGGTCCTGGGTTCGATTCCGGTCAGGGACATCTACCTTGGTTGCGGGCATATCCCCAGTAGGGGGTGTGCAAGAGGCAGCTGATCGATGATTCTCTCTCATCGATGTTTCTAACTCTCTATCTCTCTCCCTTCCTCTCTGTAAAAAATCAATAAAATATATTTAAAAAAAAAAAAAAAAAAGAATAGTTTATTGATCACTAGAGAGGAAGGGAGAGAGAAACATCGATGTGAGAGCACATCTATCAGCTTGCCTCCTGCACACCCCTACCAGGGATTGAGCCCACAACACAGGCATGTACTCTGATCAGGAATCGAACTCTTAACCTTTTTGGTGCATGGTATACTCAACCATTGGCCACACCTGCAGGGCAGGATATAATGATCTTTGGCCATTCTAATAAAGCATATCATTCATTTTTATTATTTTTTTATTTTTTATTTTATTTTAAAAAATATATTTTAAAATATATTTTTAAAAAATAAATAAATTAATTAATTAAAATTAAAATTAAAAAAAAAATCAGCCTGCCTAATCTTTAAAAAAAAAAAAAGTTTATAATTCTAGATATGTTCTTATTTGAATCTTAATGCCTCAGATTATTCATATTTTGATATTTTGTGTGTGTTGTTTGTTCATTGTGACTATTACCATTTCTTAACTGGGCCCAAAAAGTGTTAAGGAATAAAAATGGTGTAGGAAGATAGAGAGGTCTCAGGAAAACCCTGCCTAGAATTTACAGATATATCATAAATGTGTAATGTAATGCTTATTTTACATGTATAAGTAGTGAATTATATACATATATAAGTAGTATATATAGAGTTTACTATTTGTTATACATATAAGTTATACATATATCACATTTATAAAGTATTGAAAACATACACCTTTTCAAAGAAGAAAATGTATTGCATTATAACAAAGAATAGTCCTTAGGGCAAACTATGAACTCTTTAAAATAGTGTTTTTTCCATTCATAGCTTTCTATACTATGGGCAGCCATGAGACTTTAGGCAACAACTTTTAAAAGATACCATTTAAGCAGTAACATCTTCAAGTGGCCCTGAACAATCAAGGAGAGGAAAAATTAGGTTTGAGATCTGTTTAACACACATATATATTTTTAATATATTTTATTGATATTTTACAGAGAGGAAGGGAGAGAGAGAGAGCTAGAAACGTCGATGAGAGAGAATCATCGATTAGCTGCCTCTTGCACACCCCCTACCGGGGATGTGCCCGCAACCAAGGTACATGCCCTTGACCGGAATTGAACCTTGACCTTTCAATCTGCAGGCCAACATTCTATCCACTGAGCCAAACAGGTTTCGGCCTGTTTAACATATTAAAAACATCTGGATTGATGACTGAAGGTTGAGATGAAGAAAAAAGAGAGGCATGTTTTCCACTAGGAAGGGCAGGGGGGCAATATTAGCTGTAAATAAAATTTAGGATTTGTAAGCTTAAGTAACTGAAGTCATATGAGTAGATGAGATCATGGCAGGGGACTCTGTTTAGTGAGTGATTATTTTCAAAGGGGTTGAGAATGGAACCTTGGGGAACATAATGACTTTAGGTTGAAAAATGAGATTATTCCTTATGTTGTTTGAAGTATCCAAGTAATGAATGGCAATGGCTAATAGGCAGGCAAATGGATATCTGGGTTTCAGGTGAAGGTCTGGGCTGAAATAGAGTGTAGGACTCAATGATTTTTGGTATATTTTCAGAGTTGTGCAGCCCAAAGTCACCAAAGAGTGAAAAAGATTGTTTTAAGGATTGTTTGCATGTAGACAGTAGTTAAAGTCATGAATAAAGGGTATCATCCTATAGGGAAAGTGAGAAATAATGACTATATAGAAACAAAAACCATCAAAAGAAGTAGGCAAGCAGAAAACAGCACATGATTGTTAGATCTGTGAATCAATAGAAGGGCGTAGCACCCAAGTTAAGGGAGAAATGAGGTCCCAAAGGAAGGAGTGTTTACCAGGCCAAATGCTATAGTGAGGTCATGGAAAAAAAGACTTCAGGTTTGCATTGTGGAAGACATTGGTGACTTGTTAAAGCAGTGGTATGATTAGTACAGAGGTGAGGAATAGAGGAAGAGGTACAACAAGAGAGAGGTTTGTTGGAGGATATAGAGAGAAAGGGACAGATGAGATTTTCAAGGAAGAATATTATTCTCTGGAGATCATATGGAAGGATGAATGATGATGGCAAATTTTTGTGAGGTAGGGTTTTTTGTTGTTAGAAAAGGAGGTAATAACTAATTTAGAAAGCAAAGAATAGTGGAGATTGATAAGAAGGCTTAGGAATTTGGCAAAGTTTGCAAAAGAAAGAGAGGGAGCTGTCTAAAGGTAAGAAGCACTGATAAGGATTAATGAGAGCTTATGTTCTCTTCAGCAGCACATATACTAAAATTGGAACAATATAGAGAAAAATTACATAGCCCTGTGGAGGGATGGCTTGCAAATTTGTGAAGCATTCCATATTAAAAAAAACAAAAAAGACTAATTTGAGCTCAATTGAGATGAGAAGCCAAAAATTTATAGGGAAATAATTCTGTACATTAAAGTTTTGTAGGGGTTTTTTTGTTTGTGTTTTATTTTTTTTTTTAAATTTCAGCTTCTTGGTACAGGGTTAAAGAATGAGAAAGTTATATGACCTGTTTTATGATTTCTGTCTTTTAGAGACCCCAACCTTCAACAACTGAAGCAAAGGCTCCAACACCAAAGTTTGACTTATTAGCCTCAAATTTTCCTCCTTTACCTGGAAGTTCATCCAGGACACCAGGTGAACTTGTTTTGGAGAGTAGGATGTCTGATGTTGTTAAAGGTGTCTACAAAGAAAAGGTAAACACTGAAACATCCAATCTTCTAGCTTATGGGACTATAGTATTAGCTTACATTTTAAGTTATATAGGTTTTCGTAATAAGTATTTCTAATATAGTTTTAATTCAGGGGGTTGTCAGTATACTTTTAGTATTATTATAAAAAGATTGGCTCAGTTGGATGGAGCATCATCCCCTATATCTAGTACATCAAAAGGTTGCAAGTTCAATTCCTCCTCAGGGCACATCTAGGTTTCTGTGTGGGAGACAACTGATCAGTGTTTGTTTCTCTATTCATTCTTCTCTATCTAAAATCAAATTTAAAAAAATACCTTCAGGTGATTTAAAAAAAAAATTTAATAAACCTTTATTGTTCATATTATTACAGTTGTTCCTCTTTTTTCCTCTATAGCTCCCCTCCACCAGGTTCCTACCCCACCCTCTGCCCTTTCTCCAACCCCTACTGTCCTCATCCATAGGTGTACGATTTTTGTTCAGTCTCTTTCTGCACCCCCCACTCCCTTTTCCCCCTAGAATCATCAGTCTACTCCCTTTCTATACCTCTGATTCTATTATATTCACCAGTTAATATTGTTCATCAGATTTTTTTTTTTTAAATATATTTTTTATTGAGAGGAAAGGAGAGAGAGAGAGAGTTAGCAACATCGATGAGAGAGAAACATCCCTTCCAGGGATGTGCCTGCAACCAAGGTACATGCCCTTGACCAGAATCGAACCCGGGACCTTTCAGTCTGCAGATGGATGCTCTACCACTGAGCCAAACCGGTTTCGGCTGTTCATCAGATTTTTTATTCCCTTGGTTTTTAGATTCACTTGTTGATAGCTACGTATTTGTTGTTCATAATTTTTATCTTTATCTTCTTCCTCTTCTTAAAGAATACGTTTCAGCATTTCATATAATTTTGGTTTGGTGATGATAAACTCCTTTTGCTTTTATTTATTTGTGAAGCTCTTTATCTGGCCTTCAATTCTGAATGATAGCTTTGCTGGGTAGAGTAAACTTGGTTGTAGGTTCTTGCTATTCATCAGTTGGAATATTTCTTGCCATTTCCATCTGGCCTACATAGATTCTGTTGAGAAATCAGCTGACAATCGCATGGGTGCTCCCTTATAGGTAACTAACTGCTTTTCTCTTGCTGTTTTTAATATTCTTTGTCTTTTGCTCTTGGCATTTTAATTATGATGTGTCTTGGTGTGGTCCTCCTTGGATTCCTTTTGTTTGGGGTTCTGTGTACTTGCTGGACTTGTAAGTCATTTCTTTCACCAGGTGGGGAAATTTTTCTGTATCTTGCACTCTCTTCTGGGATCCCCATAATTCTGATGTTGGTACACTTGAATTTGTCCCAGAGGCTTCTTACACTATCTTCAACTTTTTGTATTCTATTTGCTTTTTGCTTTTCCAGTGGAGTGTTTTTTGCTTCTTGGTATTCCAAATCTTTGACTTGATTCTCGCAATCTTCTAGTCTGTTTTTAGGTCTCTGTATAATATTTTTTATTTCAGTCAGTGTATGCTTAATTTCTAGTTGATCCCTTTTTATATCTTTAAAGATCTTGTTTAATTTATCAGCCTTTTCTTTCATGTTTTTATTAAGGTATGTGTATATATCTTACCATTGCCCTACCCTCCTCCCATACATGCCCTTACCAGCTCCCCCCCCCCCCCCCCCCGCGAGTTTTGTGTCCATTGGTTATGCTTATATATCCTATAGCTTTCAGTGGGCTGCCACCCCAAGGTCCTTTTCTTTCTCCCTCCTTCCTGTTACCTAATTTATCAGCCATTTCTAGGAAATTCTTGAAAAACCTTATAACTGTGGTTTTGACCTCTATATCCATTCTTTTGCTTTCCTCCATTTCGTTTGTGGCCTGTCTCTTTGTCTCTGCACTTTAGCTGCTTCCCTGAGCTGATGGAGTGGCTTTGCATGCTAGGTGTCCTAGCAGGGCTCATCAGCTCAGCATCCCCAGTTACCTGAGGGGACACTCTTGGTGCAGCCCTTTGTGGGCTGTGTGCAGTCTTGTTGTAGTTAAGCCTTTCTTATTGTTGATATCACTGGGGAGAGTTGATCTCCACACCAATTGCTGTGAGAATCAGCAGTATCTCAGCTAGGAGGGCTTCTGTGCTCAGCTTGGATGGGGGCGGAGTCTCAGGGTGATACAGATAACCTTGGTTTCCCGTCAGCACCACCCTATGAGGGCCACAGCTAAATTATCATTTTTATGTTTTTTGGCCATTTGAGTCTCTTTTAAAAGAGTTTTTCAAATATTTGGCACATAATTATTAAATTGGTTTATCTCCTATCTTATAGATTCATGGAATTTAAAAAATATTCTGGATACTAATTCTTTGTCAGTGTGTATATCACTAATGGTTTGTTTTTAGTCTTATATATCTGTGGGTAAAAAAACAGGTTCTTAATTTTAATATGGTTATATTTGGCAGTATTTCCTTTGTAGTTCTTATTTGTTTTCTTTTTTTTCCTTTGGCTTAGGAAATAATCTTAGCTTCTAGAGGTTCATTTCAGAAACTGGTTTGTTTGTTTTTTAAATATATTTTTTATTGATTTCAGAGAGGAAGGGAGAGGGAGATAGATACATCAATGATGAGAGATAATCACTGATTGGCTGTCTCCTGTACTTCCCTCATGGATCCAATAACCCAAACATGTCCTCTGACCAGGAATCGAACCGTGACTTCCTGGTTCATAGGTCAATGCTCTACCACTGATTCATTGCAACCGGGCCAGAACTATGGTTTTGATCCCTCATTCTCTAATGATCTATATCTTTCCACCCGTCCACTTAACCCACCCCCCACTGGAGCCTTTTAAGGTATTATATTTATTCCCGGTATTCTCTGAAATTTCATGATGATGTATCTTGCTACGACTCTTAGTTTTGTTTTGGTCATTGTACTGCATACTTTGATGGGCTTTTTAAATCTGTAAACTCATGACCTTCCATGTGGGATAAATTTCATGAACTTCTCTTTGATAAATCCTTCACTTCTTTTGGAACTCTTAATTTGCTATTGGACTTTGGTTTGCTTGTTTTGGCTTTCCTAATTTTTACTTTTGTAATTGTCTTATTTTTCTTGGTTTAATTCTGGTAAAATACAAAAAACATAAATTTATCATCTTAACCATTGTTAAGTGTGTGCAGCTCTGTCGTGCTAAGTACATTCATGTTGTTGTGCAACCAATCTCCAGAACTCTTTTAGTCTTACAGTAAAATACTACCAGGAAACAACAAATCCCATTCTCCTTCCCTCAGCCCCTGGCAACCATCATTCTACTTTGTTTCTATGACTTTAACTATTTTAGTTGCCTCATATAAATAGAATCATAGAGTATTTTGTCTTTTTATGGCTAGCTTATTTTACTTGGAATGATGTCCTGAAGATTCATCCATTATTGTGGCGTGTGTGGGTACCTTTTATTCCTTTCATTGCAAAGTAACATTTCATTGTATGAATATATAGTAGGGCCCCCCCCCCCCCTTCTGTAATTTTGCTTTCCATTGTTTTTGTTACCATAATTTAAAATCATTAAATGGAGAATTCCAGAAATTAATAATGCATGAATTTTATTTAAAGATTTTTTAGAGAGGGATGGAGGAGAGAGGAAAAAAACCATCAATGTGATAATAACAAATTAATCAGCTACCTCCTGCACACCCGGTACCAAGAATCAAGCCTGCAACCTAAATATGTTCCCTGAACAGGAATTGAACCGAAAACCCCTCGGTTCACAGGGTGACACCCAACCAACTGAGCCACACCAGCCAGGCAACAATTCATAAGTCTTAAATTTCATGCCATTCTAAAGAGCACGCTTGCTATGTGAATCATTGTCCTGTGTATCCACAGTGTATACACTATCCAACCTTTAGTCTCAGTTATCTGGTCATGTTTCTTGCAGTGCTTGTGTGCAAGAAACTTTATTTTACATAATAATAGCCCCAAAGCATAAGAGTAGTGATGCTGGTGATTTGTATGTGATATACTGTAGAGTCTTCCTTTAAGTGAAATGGTAAGTGCTATACAATAAGGTATTTTAAGAGAGACAGACCACATTCACAAAACCTTTATTACAGTATATTGTTGTACTTTTTCTTTTTTTCTTCTTTAAATATATTTTATCGATTTTTTACAGAGAGGAAGGGAGAGAGATAGTTAGAAACATCGATGAGAGAGTCATCGATCAGCTGCCTCTTGCACACCCCCTATTGGGGATATGCCCGCATCCAAGATACATGCCCTTGACCGGAATCGAACCCGGAACCTTTCAGTCCGCAGACCAACGCTCTACCACTGAGCCAAACCGGTTTCAGGTATTTTATTGATTTTTTTACAGAGAGAAAGAAAGAGGGAGAGTCAGAAACATCGATGAGAGAGAAACATCTATCAGCTGCCTCTTGCATACCCCCTACTGAAGATGTGCCTGCAACCAAGGTACATGCTCGTGACCGGAATCGAACCTGGGACCATTCAGTCCTCAGGCTGACGCTCTGTCGACTGAGCCAAACCGGTTTCGGCATGAACATTTTTTGCATAAGTTTTTTGCAGACATGCTTTCTCTTGGGTACCTACCTAAGAGTGAATTATGGTGACTAACTTTTTGAGGAACTGCTTCACTATTTTCCAAAGTGGCTGCACCATTTGACATTGCCACTCTCTATGTTTGAGGGTTCAAATATTTCAATATCACTAAATATGTTTGTTATTACCTCTCTTAATCATTATAGCCATCCTACTGAGTATGAGGTGGTTTCTAATTGTGGTTTTGATTTGCATTTCCCTAATGACTAATGATGTTGAACATCTTCTCATATATTCTTGTTGACCATTTGTATATCTTATTTGGAGAAATGCCCTCTATAAGTCAAATTAAAATTTTTTTTATTGTTTAATTATAATTGACATTCAATGTTATATTAGTTTCAGATGTATAACATAGTGGTTAGACATTTATATAACTTGCTAAGTGATCCTCCTGATGAGTCTAATACCCACCTGACACATAATTATTGACTACATTTCCTGTTGACTACATTCCCCTGTTGTATTTTACTATACAATGTAGTTTTGAAATATGTTTTCATTTTAAGGATAATGAAGAGTTAAGACGAGGGGATAGTTGCCCAGTGCCTGCAGAGGATGAACAGACCGACTGCGCCACTGCCCAGCAACTCGATTTAAGTACTGGTCCTTCGTGTACAGCTGAGCCTCCTGCATTGAGGTACAGGCTTTGATATGGGAAGAAGATCTTCCACATTAAGATTTATTTTTTTCTGATCATTTGCTCACCTGTTTCTGTGTACTATACTAAATCTAATGTAAAATTCTTTTTTTCTTAGCACAACTCAGATAGAAAAGGATCTAGTGGAGGATTCCACTGTTCAGAAGGATGTTCTCAACCCAACAACTATATCAGTTTCTTCCCCAAATCCTGCAAAGCCATCAGGGACAAATACTGCTTCACCATGTGATAATAACATAAATGCAGCTGTAACTGTGGCCCTACAGGTAACTTAATGAATTTAGTTTATATAAGAAAAATATCGTAGGTTCAATAATGAGCAAGCCCCCTTGCCCTTGCCCACTATTGCAGAGTCATTTGGAAATAGTCCAAATTGGGCTTGCCTGCATCCAAAAAAAGCTAAAGGACTTTAAAGGCACTCTGAAGAAATGGGGAATTTTAGTTAGGTTGAGGGAGTGAAGAAATTAGTATTCTATTTCTTTTGGTTGCTATTTTGAAATGTCTTTCTTGTCTATGCTATGTTGTATGTATCACTTTTGGACTAGTATAAAGAGGCTTCAGCTCTTGGATTTTTTTTGTGTGTGTGCATAATCCTTAACAAGTCCATGGAAACCATGAGGGAATGCTCTCGTTTTTATTTAATTTCCAGAATAATGTTTATAATTAGGGAAATATAGAAAAGCAGGGGGAGGGGAGACACACTACAAAATTTACCTATAAATCCTTTCATTTTGTACATGTATATATTAAAAATTATTTTATTTTATTTTGTTTTGTTTTTTGTTTTTTGTTTTGTTGAAGGGAGAGGGATAGAGATAGAAACATAGACTGGCTGCCTCCTGCATGCCCCAACTGGGAATTGAGATCCCAATCCAGACATGTGCTCTAATCAGTAAATGAATCTGCAACCTCTTGGTGCATGGGATGATGCTCACCCACCAGAGCCACACCATCAGGCCTTTTATTTATTGATATAGCTAGTAGTATTTTGGTATAGCTTTTTTGTTTTTTAAGAACATTTTATCCCTGGCCTGGTAGCTTAGTTGGTTGGAGCATCGTCCTGATAATGCCAAGGTTGTGGGTTCAATCCCCATTCAGGGCATATACATGAATCAACCAGTGAGTGCATAAGTAAGTAGAACAATAAGTCAGTTTGTATCTCTGTGTCTCTCTGTTTATCTCCAATCAATAATTTTTAAAAAAAATACTTTATCTTGTGATTTAATAATGATAAGAGTAATGATTTATTTTTAATTTAATAATAATACTGTAGGTCCTTGGGTTACATTGGAGATCCACTCCTATGGTGTGACATAACGCGATTTTCGCCATAAGTTGGACCCACCTACACAAGCACCTACGTCACTCACATGAAGCACATACACAGCAGTAATGAAGTGAAACAGTAAAAAAAATTAAAAGATAATAATTCCTGACCATTGCTGGTGGTAAATACAGTAAACAATAAAAAGCATAAAGCACATATGTCAAAATGACAGAACTTTTTTTTTTTTTTTTAAATACTGTAAATGGGAGACGGTGATGTAACCACGAAACGACATAAGTCGAGTCCGTAAGTCCAGTTTGACGTAACCCAAGGACTGCCTGTAATATCAAGCCCAGCTTGTATGGCTCAGTTGGTTGAGTTCGACCCATGCCCCAGGAGGTTGTAGGTTTGATTTCTGGTTAGGGCACATGCTGGCGTTGCAAGCTTGATCCCTAGTAGAGGATGTACAGAAGGCAGCCAGTCCGTGTTTCTGTATCCTTTTCCTTTCCTCTCTCTGAGGTCAATAAAACCATTTAAAATAATAATAGAAATAATAGAACAGCAGCTATCAAGTATCGAATACCTACTATTTTGTTTTCATAATAGCCCTGTTGGCCTACTTTTTCAGATAAAGTAATTAAGACTTTTAATTAGTGTTTCATTAATATATGATTGGTTTCCAACTCCTCTGCAGAAATTCTTATAGTATTCCACTTAGGGTTCTTTGTAGCAAGGGAAAAGAGAATGAAACCATTTTATTTCATCGTATGGATGGACAATTATTAATTTAATCTGTCCTTGTTAGACATTTATGTTGTTTCCAGTTTTTTTCCATTACTATAAACACACTAACATGAGAACTCTTCAGATAAATTCCTCAAGTGAATTTATTGTTTCATACCTAAATTGCAGCAGTTTTTATTATTTTCAACAAATGTACTTTTTCTTTTTTTATCCTCACTCTAGGGTATGTTTATTGATTTGTGGGTTGGAGAGAGGAGGGAGACATTGATGTGAGAGAGAAACATGGATCGTTGGCCTCCCATACACACCCTGACTGGGGATTGAACCCGTGACCTAAGTATGTTTCCCACCCAGGAATTGAACCTGTTACCTTTTTGGTGTAGGGGACAACACTCCAACAACGGTGCCATCCAGCCGGGGCCACAAAAGTACTTTCTTAAAAAGATTGTCCTGGCCCTGGCTGGGTAGCTCAGTTAGTTAGAGCATCTTTCCTATACACCAAGGTTGTGGGCTCAATCCCTGGTCAGTGCACATATAAGAAGCAACCAGTGAATGCATAAATATCCCCCTCCCACTCTTTCTAAAATCAATCAATAAATTTTTTTTAAAAAAAAGACTGTAGTAATACACATTAATAGCATTGTATATTAGAGTGCCTATTACCCTTTCTTAGAAAATAACTGATTTTCTTGTGGTTAATACTATCCTTTTTGTACTCTATTACTTAAGAGAACGTACACCATAAAAAATGTTTTTCCCCGAAGCCGGTTTGGCTCAGTGGATAGAGCGTCGATCTATGGACTGAAAGGTCCCAGGTTCGATTCTGGTCAGGGGCATGTACCGTGGTTGCGGGCACATCCCCAGAAAGGGTGTGCAAGAGGCAGCTGGTCGATGTTTCTCTCTCATCGACGTTTCTAGCTCTCTATCTCTCTCCCTTCCTCTCTGTAAAAAATCAATAAAATATGTTTAAAAAAAAATGTTTTTCTTCCTTCCAAGGAACCCCGAAAGCTAAGTTATGCTGAAGTGTGCCAGAAGCCCCCTAAAGAGCCATCTCCCGTTCCTGTGCAGCCACTACGAGAACTACGCTCCAATGTAGCGTCTCCCACCAAAAATGAAGAGAATGGAGCTCCTGAGAAGTCCATTGAGAAACCACATGAGAAGCCAGAAGCAAGGGCTAGTAAGGATTATTCTGGCTTCCGAGGCAATACCGTCCCCAGGGGAGCAGCTGGAAAAATCAGGGAACAGAGACGTCAGTTTGGCCACAGGGCCATACCTCAGGGAGTTACTCGACGTAATGGCAAAGAGCAATATGTGCCACCCAGATCACCAAAGTAAAACAAACAAACAAACAAAAACTATTCAAAAACTTCTCTCTCTTCCCATTAAACTTGAGCCGTGGCTATATTGAACTGTTATGGAGGGGAGAGGGTGACCAGAAAGGAAACAAGAGCAAGTATATCCTTAAATCATTACAGATTTTGGAGTTGTGAGCAGTAGAATCCCAAAATTCATCTCTAAAGTGATTTTAAAATGCTGGAGGATTCCAATCAGTATAAATATATATATATATGTATACATATATAAAAATATAATTTTTCTATTTTTGTTTTTGATTTTAATTTGCAGAGATCTGCCTGGAATCAATTTTGAGGGTTCAGATTTAGCTTGGGGAAAAAACATTACACATCCTTCAGTATAGGAAATGAGGGAGTGAGAGAAAATATTTTTTGAAGAAGCATTTCTGTAAAATTAGAAATTACTTTTTTTAATCTATTTAAAGTTTGGCTTAGAGAATGCCATCTCTGCCTTTATGGCTTTGTGTTGCAAAGCAGATCAGTGGCTGGGTGCCTGTTTGGGTGTGTTGTGTGTACACGAGTGACTGAAGCCAAATCTGTTTTCATGTTAGTAAATGATTTAAAAACTGAATGTAATATGTATTTGAGTAGATTATTTTTCCAGTTTGATATGTAGTCTCCTTTTGACTTTACTAATATTTTATTCAACAAGCTTTTGATTGTACTTGGAGATGTGACTACCAATCACTTTGCTACGGAAAGAATGGGCGTTCGGATAATTGAAAATTTGTCTTAGTTCTAAGTTGGGTAGGTCAAAAGGCTTGCAGAGGGTTAGACTGGCCTGTGATTCTCCCCGCCCCCTAAAATAGGAAATAACTTTTTTGTGTTACTTCATTTGCTATTTTCTGTTCTTTGACTACCAAAACCCCCAGAAGCAAGTTAACTAACCACCTACATAACTATGTTTTTAATCATCTTGACAAATCATATAACTGTTCTAAATTTCTGAATTGAACAGTGAAGTATTTTACTCTTCTGTTCATGTATTTAGACGTTTAGATCCCAGAATGGGAGAGCAGAGTGTAATTTATTTGTGTTAGTGTTAAAAATGAAACATTGTAATTGACTCTTAAAGTGTTAAGTAGAAGTAAAAATAATTGTAAAGGCTTAATTTGGGGGCAGCCTTTTCTGTTTACAGTATATTTATCATAACCTTTCCCTTTCTCCAAAAAATTAAAATAAAAAAATACAGTTTGAAATTCACCGAAGCAGAGCCAGCAAGTCAGATTTTTGAGTTAAGGTCAGAAATATAGTTGAAGAAAATTATTACATAATATCTCAGTAAATCAAGTTGTAGCTCTCATATTAAATAGGCAAGTTTACATGCTGGTGTTTAGAAAATGGCTAAAATATTAAATCATGTTGAATTAATCTGTTTTAAGTCATACCATTTTCAGAGTTCTGTGTAAGGTGGGGTTTTTGTTTTTTTTTTAGGGATAGTTTGTAGCAGTAATAACTGTCCCTTATGTTAGTGAATGACTTGTATAAATTGAAACTGTAAATTGTGAACACTGGAAAGCACCATTGTGACATAGTCAACATCTTAGTAATATATTAAAATGAATGTAAATGGAGGTTAAAATTACATTACTGTGAAAACTCATCTTCCAACTCTAAGTTAAGCTGTGGAGATTTGTATTAGTAGGTAACTGTTCAGAGCTTTGAAAACACTGCACATTTCTGTACAAGCCAGAATTATTATTTCTTTGTAACTTATTCAACTTGGCAATTGCTTTTGATTTGGTGAGTTGATAACATGATATAATACATTTAAGTAAGAAGAATCATTTCTACACACTATTTTTTTAAATCATCTAGAACTGAAATCTACAGTTAAACTACCTGTGCTGAAATTTGGGGGAAGTTTAGGTTCTTTTTTAAACAAGTATTAATAATCATTAACTATATCTATGATAAAGTGCTTATTTTGGTTTACTTAGATAATGCTGCAGTTGGTAGAAATGATAAACATTTAAAGTGTTAACACTCTGTGAATGCATTGGATTTAGGAGAATAAACATTTTATAAAAATCACTTGGAGAGGGTTATAAACTTAATTGTTGCACTTGAAACAAAACATTACTTTTTTTTACAGTGTGTCACAGAAGTGGGCTTGTATTATTTGTACACTTGTGTGACTTATCCCAGTTTTTAAAAACTAAGTATTTTAATTGAAACACGGGTCTTCTTTTTGAAGAAAATGTGTTCTTGCTTTTCCCCAAAATGTTATTAAGAGTAGAAATTTAATTTAAAAGACATGACCTTTTAAATTCTCTTGTAAAATATATTGTTTTAACTTAATTTGCCTCATTACAACTAATAATTCCCATTTTGATGGGAAGTATAGGGAAGAATAAATGTCTGTTTGTGTATATAATATATATATATATATTCACAATATGTATTTAGCATTTATTTTATTACAGCAGATTTAAGGTTTGTATCTAATGATGCCTATAAATTGTGTGAAACTTGGCCCCCTTTATATCCTCCCCCCCCCCCCCCCCCCCAGCATTACTCTGTAACTGATGAGGGTTGAGCATTCATTATAGTTCAACCATTTGGTTCTTTTCTTAGTTGTAATCCTCGAGGATATGTTTTTCATTGATTTTAGAGAGAGGAAGGAAGGGGCTGGGGAGAGGGGAGAGAGTGAGAAACATTGATGTGAGTAAAACATCAATCAGTTGTCTCTTGTATATGTCCTGACAGAATCGAACCAGCCACCTTCCAGTTTATGGGAAGATGCTCCAACCAACAAAGCCACACTGGCGCCAGGGCTGTTTGGTTTTTTAGAAAGGAATTTAAATGTTGATTTTTTTTTTTTTCCTTCATCCTTATGGCTTAACACTTGCTTGGCTGTTGGAAACTAAAAGTAGATGCAAAATGATATTGAGTGTATGGTACAGTGATCATCTGCCATAGTTTTTACTGCATGAAGAGAAAAAGAGTCACCACTTCATTGAGAAGGTATATAAGAGATAATTGCAAAAACCGATCTCCATTTTCTATCCTGATGAAGGTTTTCGTGATATCCAGGGCCTGTCTCTAATCTGAGTAACTTCATTTTTGCAAGTATAGACATTGCAATTCAAGAGAGTTATCTGTCTACATTTTTTTTCAACTGGATTTTGGAAGAAGATAAATCAGTTGCTATTGTTTATTGTCATCATATGTGCTCAGTTGGCATGTTGATCAACTGACATGCAGATTTTAAATTTATTTTTGGTTCCTAAAATTAAGGTAGCTTGGATATTGTTTCACATTCCTCTTTTTAAATATTTGTTTTGCAAAAAGGCTTAGTGATGGAGTATTAGCATCTCTTGGAACAGAAAATAGTATTTAAAAGTTAATAATTCTCTAGTTTTTTTAGTTATGGCCTTAAAACTGGCGTAAATGTCCACTGGTTTTACTTTGATCCAGTTGAAAACACCAGGATTAAGGCTCTGATATTTGTGTTGGGCTTATATGTTAACCATATTTTAAAAGAATCCATTTTGTATTTTATAGAAAAGATAAAATATAAGAGAGGACAGTATATTCCTTTTGAAGGATTTTTAAAAAATTCATAATCATGTGATGGTGATTTTTCCCTCCTAATTTTATATATTTCCTTACAATTTGGTGGCTATAAAATTTTAACTTTAGGCTTTTTTGGTATATGCTAATTTAGTTTGAGCTTCCAGGAAGTTACATAGATATTTCAGTTTTCATTAGCTGAATGAAGATATTTTAAGAAGTTGAAAGAAAATTTAATTTCAGGTTGAGAGTAAATTCTCTTTCAAAATTCACCTGATTATTAAATACAGTTGTGTGTTTTTTTTGTTTGTTTGTTTGTTTTTTGTTGAGAACTTCCTAAGAGTTGCCGAGTAGATGGTTCTTAAAAGTACAACTCAGATACCAACAGAAGGAAATGGTTTTACTTTCAGTTTTATAGCACAAAACACTGATCAGCAAATAGTATAAAGAAACATCCACATTACCTTTTTTTCCTTCTGATTCAGGTGTCCCTTGAGTGATATCTCCTAATGTTCGGTTTGGGTTGTGGGTCAGAACCAGTTATCTGCTTTTTGTTTTGTCCATTGCTTAAGTTTGTTCCTGTTGTCAGAACTGTCCCTCCCACCCCCTAAAAAAATGATGTGACACATGCTCATGCATATTATGTTAAAATGAGTACATCCTATATTTGTATTTTTGTTTTCAACATTGCCAAGGTGCTATGGGAAATTAAAGTAACAAAAATTAGAACAAATAAAATTGTTTAAAAGCAAGACTGGTTTTCTTTTCTTCAGGTGGTTTATGTCTAATGACTACTTGTATTTACTTTTCAATAATTTTATATGTTGCCCATTCTCTAGTTCCATCACTCTCCTGGTCTCAGCAGGTTTTGATGTGTTTTGGGAAGGGGCAGAGGCAAGATATGTGATACTGCATCTGCAAAGTGAGGGCAGAGAGCTGTAAGCTCCATCTTTATGATTCTGGGGGTTTAAGTTATTTTTGTGTGAGAAACCGTTACTGGAGGGAAAATTACAGGGCAGTTTAAGGATGTGCTTTCATTGGGCTGATAGTATGGTCTGACTTGAGTATATAAATTCTGGGCTTTCAGAACTTAGAAGAGAAAACCATTAGGTTTCATTTACTTTTTCAACCATATCTTTGTTTTGATTATAACAAATCCTAAAGCTAAAGTGTTTTTTTATTTTTTAAAGCTTAAGTTTTGGTAGATTTTTGAAGGGAAGTTTTACTGGGAAATTGAAATAGGTCTTTTAAGCTTTTCCATACTATGAAAATGCAAAAACTGGAAAAGCTGAGTGAATCTAGCTTTTTAACAGATATCTGTAAATTAATGTGACCACTCAACTTTTATTGAATATAGTACATCAGTCCATGGATTTCCATGATTTAGTTACCTGAGGCAGTCGCAGTCAAAATATTAAATGTCACATTCCATAAATGATAATTTTTAATTGCATGCCATTCTGA